TTAGAGTGTTAGTATCTGTTGTAATTAGTGTGGCTCGAACTGAAGATGGTGCATATCCACCGGCTGCCCATATGGGCAGCAGTGGCCGTTAGGCCACATCAGTGGAATGCAAGCCCCTGCCATTTAAACGAAGAGCAACCAGACCTTTCGATGTCATCATTCATAAAGATTTAAATCTAAGCTTTTGTAACACGCGGTCTTATGTATAAATTAAAGGGATATTATTAATATATATTTTTAATTAATTTATATAAAAACTTATTACTTTTATAATTTTTATATAAATTAATTATAATACATATTTATTTATTTAACTTTTAATTTATCCTTTTAAAATATGTATTAAAGAAATCTTTACATTGTTATAAATAAGATTAGAATTTAAGAATAAAAAATAGTCACGTGTTGCAGTTGTCAGGAAACAACAAAGTAATATCAAATAGCCTCTCGGAGGAGTCGATTGAGGAAAGTTGATCCTCGATCTAGAGTTCTCGGCATGTAGACACAAAGAATCAAACCCAAAGCCTACTTTGCTTTTCTCCATTTGCTACCCATCTTTAGAAACACCACCGGGCAAAAAACCTAAAACCAGAAGTATAGCTAAACATACAATATCCTAGAATGAAATCAAGAAAAGAGGTGAAAATTTGGATCTTTGAAACGATCCTAATGTCAAGCCACTTTCTTTTTTCTTAGTCCTTTCTAGTTGGATTTTTTTGGAATGAGAGAGGTGATGGGTTTTTAAGAAAAGCAGAACTGCATACGAAACCCAAGAGAAAAAGGGGTTCAATGAAGGTTTTTATTATTGCGGTGGAGTATATGTAAAAGAAGTGATGGGGTTAATGTCAACGAGATAGACTAAATTGTAGTGGAAGAGAAGAAAACGAGGGGCGATGGTGTGGTGGTGGTGGGGGTAGTGCTACTACTCCTACTAGTGTTATTGTTATTCTTTCTAGGATGCCATTGAAGAGAGAGAGGTGAGGAAGTGGTGGTACTGGAGTGGAGTGCAATGGGATTTTGAGATTTGAACAATTTAACCTTCGTTGGAAGAGGTAAAGGACACATAAATAAATGCACAATTTTGGTTCAATAACAACAAGCTAACGTAATCGCTAAAATAATATAGGTTTGTGTGTTTGGAAATTTTAATGTAAAAAAAAATTTAATAATAAATTAGATTGTTGCATTGATCAACTACAATGCACTACATAGTTA